CACGCTTGTGCTCCTGGCAAAGGCTCCGGCCCCAAAAATCCACCTGCACAACCTCCAGGCCTTGGGGCTTTTGGGGTTTGTGCTCCTAAACATAAGGGAGAAAAAAGGAGAAAAAGAGAAAATTCACATGGATGGGGTGGTATTAAAGAAATGAGTTAAAAAATCAGCTGGCAGGGAAAATGGGAAAATTATATGAAAAAAGGAATATATATATAAATGGAAAATTTCATATATATATATATACACATAGGGGAAAATTTCATATATATATACATAGGGGAAAATTTCATATATATATATATATATACACATAGGGGAAATTTCATATATATATAGGGAAAAATTTTTATATGTATAGGGGAAAAATTCATATATATATGGGATGAATTTATATATATGGGAAATTTTTATATATATATATGGGAAATTTTTAATATATATATATGGGAATTTTTTTATACATATATATGGGAATTTTTTAATATATATATATGCATGGGAGATTTTATATATATGTATGTATGGGAATTTTTTTAATATATATATGTAAGGGAAATTTTTATATATATATGGGAAAAATGTTATATATATACAGGAAAATTATATATATGTGGGAAATTTATATATATATATATATGGGAAATTTTTATATATATATATATATGGGAAATTTTTATATATATATATGGGAAAAGAATTTATAGGTATATATGGGAAAGAGGCAGAATTGCCAGTCCCTCCTGTGCCGAGGCAGATGGATCCTTCCTGACAGCTCTGGAGCCTCCCAACACTTCCAGGTCACTGCTCTGGGGAGGAGCTCTGCATTCCCCTCCTCCCCGGTTTTTCTTTCTTATTCCTCCTCTCCAATCCCAGAACTGCCACAAATTCTGCAAAAATCCCATTTTCCTTCATGGTCTCCTCTCCAATCCCAATATTGGATTGGGATTCCTGCCACAAACTCTGGGTTAATCCCATTTTCCTTCACGTTGCTCCTCTCCCAAAACTGGGTCAGGATCCCAGCCACAAACTCTGGGTAAATCCCATTGTCCTTCACATTCCTCCTCTCCAGTCCCAAAACTGGGCTGGGATTCCAGCCACAAACTCTGGGTAAATCCCATTTTTCATCCCCAACAGCACGGGGGGCTCAACATCAACATTGGGGCAGAATTTGCCCCAAATCCACGTTTCTAAGGGGTAAAACCCCGCCCTGGGGAGGTCCAAGGTGAGCAGCCCTGACCTCACCTGGAATTTTCTCTCCTGCAATCCCTGGAACAGGGATGAGGCTGGTGAATCACACAGGAAATTCCTGCTTTGCCAGGAAATCCCAAATTCCTGCGTTTGGGCACCAGCTCCAGATGCCCAAGGGCATATTTTAAACTGGGCTCACCCCAAGGAGGAGTTTTCCTTTTTTTTTTTTTTAGGTTTTGCCTTATTATTTTGGGTTTTGCCACTTTTTCCCCCCAGGTTTTCCCATATTATTTTTCTTTTGGGTTTTGCCACGTTTCTTTTCCCAGTTTTTGCTTCCTTTTTTTGTTGTGTTGTTTTGGGGTGGTTTTGTTTGTTTTTGAACCCAAACCCAAGAGCTCCAGAGGTTTTTCCCTGCCTCTCTTCCAAGCTTTTCATTTCCAAGGCCTCATTCCCACAAAATTCCTCCTTGCCAGCTCAAACCCACCTGGATCAACCCCCCAAAAAATCCCAAAACCCTCCATGGACATCTCTGGCCTTGAGCATGGTGGATTTCTGATCAAACTCCAGAAAATCCCAACACTCCTGACTCGGTGCTCTGGGCATTTTCTGGGATGGTTTTCCATCCATGCCTGAATTCATGATATTTCCACCAAACCTGCTGGTGGCTTTCTGAAATCCAAGCCCCAAATTTTGCCTCCTTAAATCCAAAACTCCCCAGTTCTCCCAGATAATTTCCTTGCTGAGCCCTGCAGACAACCCTGAGCACATTCAAACAAAATTTACCTAAACCAGACCACGTGAAAATAAAATAAAGACAAATTTCAACCAACAAAAAGGATTTTTGGGATGTGCCATTGATGACTCTGGGCCCAGCAATCCAAAAATGGAGACCACCAGGGCTAAAAGATGATTCCAGAAGGATTTTCCCAGTTTGGATGTGACCAGAGGATCCCAGACTGGTTTGGGTCGGGAGGGACCTTAAATCCCATCTCACTGACAGAACATTCCCATGGAAATTCCCCGATGACCAAACTCCCCAGATTCTAAGGGATTCCCACTCTGGGGTCCGGAGGAGCGCAGGGAGCAGCCAGGGAAAGCAGGGATGAGCTTCTCCAAAGGAACCGCATCTGCTCCCATCTCCCCAACATCCAAGCTCCTCCCTGAGCAGCCATTCCCAAATTCCCAAAGCCTCCCAAGGCCCTGGAGATGCAGCAGAGCATCCCCAAGGAGTCAAACCTGTTCTGTACCCAGATGTTCACCTCTGCACGGGGAGCTTCTGAGTGTTCCTCAATCCCAGGGAACATCCAAAATCTGCTCCTTGCACAATCCCAGGGAACATCCAAAATCTGCTCCTTGCACAATCCCAGAGAACATTCCAAACCCTGCTCATTCCACAATCCCAGGGAACATCCAAACCCTGCTCATTCCACAATCCCAGGGAACATCCAAACCCTGCTCATTCCTCATGTGGTGGGATCTCCGGGGGGTTTTATCCCCATCCCAACCCTGCTGAGTGAAGCCAAGCACAGCAAATCCATGGAATGTTCCTGTCCCTCCATGGAGGTGGAGGAATTTCCATTCCTGGAGACACCTCTGACACCTTCAGTGTCCTCCAGCAAGGATTGGGGTCTGGGAAAAACCTCTTTTGTTTGTTTTGGGTATCATTGGGATTTTTAGACACTCACAAAAAAGAAACATTTTTGTCCCATCTCCCAGAAGAACGACAAAATATTCCATGTATTGAGCACAATGCCCATAGCCAGCACAAACTGCTCATCCTGCACCATTCCCAACCAGGGGAATTCTCTTTTTCCAAAGGAAAAGGATCCAAGGGAATCCATGAGCCAGGTCCATCCTGCTGGCCATGGGTGGCCTCAGCTCCTGTGCCCACCCTCCATTCAGTGTCCACCACTCCATCCAGCAGGAAAAATGATTTAAATCATTAATTACAATGGTAATTAAACCCCTTTAAGGTGCTCGCTGTGAGGAACTCTTGGTGTTTTGCACAGATTTAAAAGTTTCAGCTCCAGTTAAGCCAAGCTTGTTAAAACAATTAATTTATTGTATTAATATTAAATAAACCACTCCTGCAAGGGACCAGGGGGATCTTGGGTTGGAGTTCCACTCTCCCACAAACCCAACCAATTTCCAACTATTTCAAAACCCAAAAATCCCCAGGAATTATTTCTAATTTTCCAACTTCTGTTCCAGGTTTGCATCAACCACTTGGGGAAGGTTTCAAGGTGTTTAATGATTCACTTTTTATGATTGGTGTTTAATTTTCCCCCTTGCATGACTGGGTCATGGAAGGTGATTCCAGCTCTGCCAGAGCCCAACATCCCAGCCCTGGATCCATCCCCACTGTGGGGCTGGGCAGTGACCAAAGCTCCTGCCAGGCCAAAACCCTCAAGGGATAAAACCAAACCCCAAAAAATCCCAAAACCAAAAACCCCAGATCCCAAAAGAGCCTCAAAACCCCAATTTACTTCCCCCAAGCAGCCTCAAAATAGAATAAATAACCCAGACCAAGGCCTACAACAAGACAGCTCCAGTTTATCCACATTCATTCATCCATAAATGTTGGGATTTTGGGAGCAGACAGGTTTTTAATGGCATTTTCCCTGCCATGACCTGCTCCTGTCGTGGGATGGGTTTGATGTCATGGGCTAAAATTAAAACCTCTTTTGCTTGTGACTCTCATCAGCACCAGGGAGAGCAGGGAAGGCTTTTCCTGGGATCTAAAGGACACCAAAACTCATTTCCCTCACTCCAAACCCAGGAGGGGCTGCTCCATGTGCCCACACGGCCGTGACAATTCCCCAATTGCCCAGGCCAGGGGAGCATCCTAAACCCACAGAAATCCCGTGGATCCCGAGGCCTCTCCAGGGGAATTTGGGCAGGGGGCAGCCTCAGATTTGGGGGACACTCCAGGAATCAATTCCCCAATTTCTGCCTGTCATTCCAGGGAGCTCCCTGGGCTGGAAGAGGCTCCAGCAAACCAGGCCCTGCTGCTGCCACCAACGGGCCAGAAATCCCCTGAAATCCAACAAATTCTGCTCTTGCTGGCCCTGGAGCATCCATTCTGCTAAAACACAATTAAACCCAAGACATCCTCTCCCTGCATCCTGCTCCAGAAGGAATTGAAATGATAAATAATAAAGCAAAGCTTTACATACGGCCGAGACAGACGACAGAGGATGAAATTCCTGTCATGCCCAGAGGCTTTTCCCACACACGATCAGACACAGCTCCCTGAAGCATCCTGAGCCTGCAGCCCATATTTCCTCCTCATGCCCTTTTTTATGCCGAAATCCCCAATCCAGCCTCTCCTCCTTCCCCCGACCCGCATCTCCACGGCTCGGCAAGGAAAACCCATCGGGAGCTGCCATTCCCTGGTTTCCCACAGAAACGATGCTCGTCCACCCAGGGAAAACACCGAATATCCCATCCCCGAGCAGCACAGCGGGATAAAATCGGGGTTTGGGGACGGGAATCCAGCCGGCTCTGCCTGGAGGAAGCGGCCGAAAGCCGGGAGGGAATTCGCGCAGCCCGAGCTGCCTACACAGGGCTGGGGATGGAATTGCAAATAACCTGACGGGCTCGATATTATATCACCGCCCGGCTGAGCCCGAGCGGCCGGGATTAGGGGGAGGGGAGGCTCTGATCGCGTTATTATTGCCATTATTGCCGTTATCGGCGTTATCATTCCGTTCGGGAAAGGCTGGAGCCCCCCGGGCACGGCTCGGTGCCTCCCCCCCCCTCGCCGGAGAACGCGCCCGGCTCATCCCATCACATCCCATCGCATCACCTACCTTCCATCATGGTGGCAGAATTGCATTCCTCAGTTTCCGAGGAGCCTGGAAAAACGCAGGAGAGTGCGGGTCCCGCTCAGCAACGCCCGGCCCGGCGCGGGGAGCGCGAGGAGGAGGAGGAGGAGGATGAGGAGGAAGGAGCGCCGGGGCTAGGGGCAGGCCATGGATGCTGCTGCGCCTGTATCACCTCCGGGCTGAGCGCGGAGATGCTCGCAGCGAGGGAGGGAGGACGAGGCGGGCTCGCCGCCTCCCGCCCCGCACTGCTCACATGCGCGCTCGCTCCCGACACACCCCCGGCAGCGCTCCAACCTATTTCCCAGATTTTTCTCCTTTTTCGCCCCCCTTTTCCACCCTCCCCAGCGCCTTTTCCCCAAAAGCAGAGCCCCTGCCCGCACCTCGTGACGCACTTCCCCTCCCTAATCCTATTGCGGGTTAATTCCTGTCAGATTAGAGGCGCGATGGGAGAAGGGAGAAGGCAGAAGGGATGGATCCCGGCCGGAGGAGCGGCGGGGCCGACCCCGGGGACAAATCCATCGCTGGCATCACGGGGCAGCGCTCAGCCCGGCAGGAGGAGGGATGCGGGAGAAATTCCTCCCGACCGCTTCCAGCAGCGCCCGGGGATTCATCCCGCATGAGGGGAGAGCGGAGGGGGGAACAAAAGAGGCCGGGGAGGCGCCGCGATGCCATCCTACCCTGTGTCCCCCGCGATGCCACCCCTGCCCTGTGTCCCCTATAGTGCCACCCTGTCCTGCATCCCCCACAGTGCCACCCTGCCCTGTGCTCCCCGCGATGTCACCCTGCCCCGTGTCCCCTCCATAGTGCCACCCTGCCCCGTGTCCCCCCGCGATGCCACCCCCGGCCCCAGCTCCCCTCGGCTCCCTCACCCCTTCCCAACCCGTCACGGGGGTCGGGGGGCACTCAGCCTGAATCATTGGGATCCCGCCGGGTTTATCCAAGAAAATGCGGGATTTAGAACCGTCCCTGGCAAACCCGGCCGTGCCCAGCTCCCACAGTCCGGTTATTTTATTTTTCCTGGCAGGAAAGGGCCTCGAACCCCCCCCGGGACCCTCATCCCAAAGAGAATCGGGGCTGGACGGGACAGCGGGGACAGCCCGGGCTGGGTCCGCGCCGCTTCCCAGCGCCCGGGGAAAAAACCCAAAAAAACACAAAAAAACCCCCCAAAACACAAAAAACCAAACCAAACCAAAACAAAAAAACCACAAAAACCACCAAAAAAGCCAAAGGGATGGGCACCATTGTGGCCCCTTTGCCCACCGAGGAGCCGCCGCTGTCCCTCTGTCCCCGCAGCAGCAGCAGCGGCGCTCTGGGGACAGCCAGTCCCAGTGTGGATTTTCAACGTGACCGCGGAGCGAGCGGGGATGGAAACTCCCCCTGTGCCGCCCGCCCCGCATCAGCATCCTCAGGATCACCCCCGGCAGCCCCGCGGGCTCGGCAGGGCTTCTCCCCACTCAGGAGCAGTGCCCACATCGTTTTTCCCATTGAAAAAGGAAAAAGCTATTTTTCATTAATGAAAATCAAATTTTGCCCTATTAAAATAGTAAAAAATTAAAAATAAATAAATAAAAATATTTTCCTCTCCCATTTAAAAAACCAATCCCAAAGCCAAGCACCTGCCAGGGTCCGGGTAAATCAGTGAGGGAACAGGAGCTCAGCAGGGTCTGCGTATCCAGCCCAGCCCAGCTGGTGGGAAATGCCCCAGCAGCAGCCGCGGGGACGGGATTATTGAGCAGATGGTTCCTGTAATCCCTGCACGGAGCTGCTGTGACCTGCCCGCCCCACTGCCAGCCCAGGGACAGCAGCCCAGTGCCCTCGGGAATTGTGGTGTAATCCCAGGAATGCTGTCCCACTGTCCCCTGGCATGCCCCGCTGTCCCAGCCCTCAAACAGCCCAGCAGCCAGGCTGGCACACGGGGCAGGGCATCCCAGGGATGGACAGGCACTTTCCGTGCCCAAATTCCTCCTGGACACACCCAAATAACACCAATCCCCCCAAAATCCACGGAGCACAGCCCCGGAATCCCCATCCCTGGCGGTGCCCAGGGCCTGGAGCAATCCTAGGGAAGGTGTCCCTGCCATGCCAGGGCTGGGATGGACTTTAGGGCCCTTCCAATCCTAAATCAGGGCATTCTGTGGTGCCACAGCCAGGACAGAGCCAGTGCCCCTTCCCACAGCTCCAGAGGGCTGAAATTCCTGAATCCAACAAGGAGAGCCAGGATTTCCCTGCAAATCCCTCCCAGGCCAGGCTGTGGATACAAAAATCCTTTTTACCAAGTTTCCCCATTTCAGGCCTGGCTTTGGGCAGCCTCCCCATCACCCTGGGAATCCCTGGGCTGCTCCAGCTTTCCCTGGATCCATGGGGGAGCTCAGCCTTGTGAGACCCCTCCTGCCACGGGGCCTGACCAAAACTGGGCCCAAAATTCACCCACAGAGCTGCTCCTGGAACGGGCTCTTCCCAAAAATCAGGCGGCACAGGAGAGCCTGGAGCACTCCCTGTCCCCGGGGGTGCAGCTGCCCCCAAACCCCTCTGTCCGAGGCAAATCTGATATTCCCAAAGGTTGGAATTCGCCTTCCCAACGCCGCCCAGCCCCGCTGAGCTGCCCCAAGGACAATCCCCATGAAAAGCCCTGGAAATCTCCAGCAGCTCCCGGAGGAGAGGCTGAGGAGCTGCCGGCAACAGATGAAGCCAAGGGCCTGAGGATTAAAAAAAAAAAAACAAACCACCAAAAAAAAAAAAAAAAAAAAAAAAAAAAAAACCAAAAAACCCAAATAAGAAGAGCGGCAGCAAATGAGTCACGGCGAGCAGGGAGAGCAGGGAGAGCACTGAGCACGGAGCACTGAGCACGGAGCATTGCTCATCGCTCATCGGGCAGAGTCAGCCGCGCCTCCATGTGACAGCAGCGCCCCGGGAGCCGCCCGGGCCCGGATTTGCTGCTAAATAAAACCCGGCATTAGCGGCAGCCAGGGATGCCGGCATCGCCCCTCAGCATGGGCCGGGACTGAACCGGATGGGAGCGGGATTGAACCGGGTGGGAGCGGGATTGAACCGGGATTGAGCCCGGAGCTGTGGGATGGAGCTCCCGGCGGGTTCAGCCTTTTCCCTCTTTCCCTGTAAAACCGGGGTGCAGGGGACACGGGCAGGGGCACCTCCCACTGTCCCAGTGTCCAGCCTGGCCCTGGGCACTGCAGGGACCCAGGGGCAGCCCCAGCTGCTCTGGGCACCTGTGCCAGGGTGTCACCATTGCCACAGCCAAAATTCCTGCCCAATCTCCCATCTAAATCTACCAATCTTCAGCTTAAATCCATTCCCTGTGTCCTGTCCCTCCATCTTTTTCCCCAGTCCCTCCCCAGCTCTCCCAGAGCCCCTTTGGGCTCTGAGCTCTCCCTGGAGCCAATTTCCAGGATTTTTTCCTCAAAGGGTCTCCCTATCATGGAAGGAGGCTGTGAGAGGGGAGAACCCCCAGGAGCAGCTGAACCCAACCCTCCATGAGCTCAGGAGGGCACAGAGGGGATCAATCCATGCCCCAGCTCCTGAAAACCCAGCGGCACCACCGAGACCCCCAGGAGCCACCCCCTGATGCTGAACCCCGTGGGGCTGCACCCCAAACGCTCCTGGGGCAGCCCCAGCTCGTGCTGTGGGCAACCAAAGCATTGCACGGGCATCCAGAGCATCCTGGCAGGAGCAGGGCAAGGGAATCCATGGGAACAACTCCTGCCAGGGCTGGAGAATCCATGGGAGCAGCCCCAGCTCATGCCAGGGCTGCTGCTGCTCCCAGCTCAGCCCTTTCCTTCCATGAACCCTCGGTTTTCCCAGGCCCAGAGAGCCACGGAGCCATTCCCATGCTGGGAGCTGCTCCCAGGAGGACTCAGGGATGTGGGAATGAGCCCCCACCCCAGGGACAGCAGGGAGAGGAGGAGAGCTGGATGGGGCTGGAGAACAACGCTGGGAAAAGGAAATTCCTGATGGATGCACTCACTGGATTCCTGCTCCAACCCCCACCACAACCAGGCCCGGGATCCCCCACTCCCCGGCAGCCCCCAAAACCCCAAAGGAACATCCCTGCACACCCCACAAGGGATCCCACCTGGCTCTGCTCCTGCTCTTCCTCCCTAGCTCCAGGCTCTCCCCACCCTCAGCGCTGATAACCGGGGCTGATCGGGGCAATCAGCACCGCCCCCAGGGGCACCAGCTGCGGCTGCTCCACAAGGCTGATCATTGATTCATCCTCGTTTTGGGGGCAAAAAAGGCATTCAGGAGCACTGGCAAAGCCTCATGCAGGCCTGGGGCTGCAGCCAGCACCCCCGTGCCACACCAGGTACCTCACCCGAAATGTTACTGAGCACATTTGGGGTTTGATCCCTGATCAGCCTGGGATGTGCTTTAGGATGGGGATGGATCCGTCCCCCCACGCCCCGGGATCAGGGCTGCAGGAGCTCATCCATCAGTAAAATTTCACAGCTGTGTATAAACCCCAGAGAAACCAATTCTGCCCTGACATAATCCAGAGCTTCAGAAATGCCAGTGGAGTCTTTCATTAAATTAAAATTTTAGGTGTCTTTGGGTATTGCCCTGGTCACCTTAGGGCCTGTCTGCTTTGGCCACGGCTAATAAAAAACGTTGAATTCTTAAAATTAACTTATTCACAGAAAAGGAACGGGACGGGGCGGGGGCAGAGGTGGGGGCGGTGCTGGGGAACATCGGGGGCAGCAAAGGCAGAGGCAGCCCTGGGGCGTCTGCATCCAGCTGTGCGGGGATCCAGCTGTGCGGGGATCCAGCTGTGCAGGGACCCAGCTGTGCCAGTTCCAGCTGTGCCAGTTCCAGCTGTGCCAGTTCCAGCTGTGCCGCCCGCGCTGCGCGAGCCCCGCAGGGCCCGTCCCGTCCCCGCCGTGTCCCCGGAGGGGACATTCCCCATTCCCGGGGCTCTGGAGCTGCACTCCCTGCGCAGCGCCCGGGGCTCGGCAGATGGAGCTGTGCAGCTGCGCAGGCCGGGCCGGGCCGGACAGATGTGCAGGGGCAGGATGGGTGGACAGATGTGCAGGGCCCGGATGGGTCGGACAGATGTGCCGGCCCCTCGCGCTCCCCTGGCCCTGCCATCCCCCCGAGCCCATCCTGCACCCGCGGGCCGAGCTCTGCTGTCCCCGTGTCCCCAGCGGTGCCGGACAGAGGGGACAATGGTGGCAGAAATGCCCTCAGCACAGCGGGACATTGGGCACC